CACCTGCCTGGTAAGTGCAAGGACCCAGGTTCGATGCCTGGTACTGCATGCCTTGCTGGCCCCAGAACCCTAGGCACACTGTGCCACCCCAAAACTGGGTGTGGTGGTGCATGCTTGTAATCCCAGAACTGGGGAGGCTCAGACAGAAGGATCACTATGAATCTGAACTGCATAGCGAGACCCTCTACCAAATAGATAAATAAAAGATTTTTTTTTTAAAGGAGCAGTTAATGCTTGTTTTTCTCTACTTTTTAATTTTTATAACTTTTTTAGGGCCAGTGAGATAGCTTAGTAGACTAAGTGTCTGCTTTGGCAAGCGCAGGGACTGTGGTTCAATCCCTGGTCCCACATGCCGGTCCTGCATGCTCAGAGCCGGTGACCAGGTCCTGGCATGGTGGCACAAGCCTGTAATCCCAGCCCTACACAAGCTGAAAACAGGAAGATGACTACAAGTCCAAGCTGTGTAGTGAAACCCTGTACCAAATACATATGTGAAAATAAGTTTTTCTGACCAGTTTTGCGTGCTTATAGCTGGTAATTTGAACAATTAATTTGAAGGCAACAAGATGCAATATAAAACCACTGTTGAGTTCCTATTATATTGTTTAGTGAAATTCTGTATCATTGCTAATTTTTTTTTTTTTGCTATTTTTTTTAATCCTCTTTAAAAAATAAGCGAGGGGGCCGCCCCTTAGCTCAGTTCTTTAAATGGCTGCTTCAACAAAGCAGTCAGGCTCAGGTTGCTGTGGTTCCATCCCCACAACTCAAGACAGCCAAACCTGCCCTGAAGGCATTCGGACCAAAAAAAAAAAAAAAAATCCTCATTCCATTTTGGGGCCGGGGAGATAGCTCAGTGGAATAAGCGCTTGCCTGGCAAGTGCAAGGGCCTGAGTTCAATCCCTGGTTCTGAAAAAAAAGAAAAAAGAAAAAGAAAAAACAACTATGGTCCCTGTGAGGGGCATGGGCTTTGTAGGTCCAGCCTCCTAGCCACTGTCCAGGGAAGATGGGGCTTTTACTGAACGCTCCTGGTGGGCCTTGGCCAGAGTGTCTGCGTGACCTAGAGATGTGGGAACTGGCTGTTTCCCTCCTAGTAATACCCCAAGGTCCAGCTGTGATCCACGTTCTGAGTGAGAGAGGCAGCAGGCAAGGAGCCCCTGTGAGAATGTCCAGGGAAGGGCTGAAAGGAAAATGTCAGAAGAGGGCAGGTCATGAGGGTTCAGTGACCCAGAGGTGGCACTGAGTGGGAGAGGAGGCCTGCGGTGCAGTGCAAAGCCCATCATTTGCCCCACGGCTGCTAGGCGAGGCCCTGGGCTCTACTGCCCTTGCATGGGTCCTGACCCTGACCATCCTCTTGGCTTGCCCTGCTGTTCTGCTTGGCGAATGTGGGCCAAAGAGACCCATGTGTAGCAAGATCTGTACCCACGTGCTCCACAGCACATGTGACCCATAGGGGCTGGCAATGCTTGCGTGCATTTCAGGGTTTTGACCAGGATATGTGGAATCAGAGTTGACCCAGAAGTCTGGACTGTACTGTGGCCAAAGTTTGGGACAAAAGGAACCCACTGTCTTTGGGCTGCTCAAGATTAGCAGCTTATGTTATGGTCCAGCTGGGCTCCTTTTCTTTTCTTTTCT